TGCAAGTAAGGGAAGGAATGCATTCCCAAAACGTCCAACTATAACTTAAGGCAACTTTATACAACAGTGTGTTATCAGTGCATGCTTATGGGCATGTTTGTGACCAATACACATTGGCAAATGAACATTAAAAGAATAATCAGACAACACATCTCACTTCATCAGTTGGTTGGTTTATTTATCATTAGCATTGACACCAAATGTACTCTACTGTTTCTCTTGCTATCATAGGAGATGCATTTTGAATTGTAAACAGTGAAAATGATAAAATGCATTTCAGAAAACTCCTTACAAGCAGTGTATGACCAGGGAAAAGAGCAGATTGTACCTGCTCTAGCTTTTTCTTTTAAACAATACATGTCATCTTATATTTTGAGTCTCTCATATTTACATAGTTACAGCTGGGTCCCATGTCCACCAGCAGAGACCTATGGGTTTGATGTTTTTGTTTGTTTTTAATGTGTTATCACAGTTTTCTTAAAGAATTATATTTACAACCATAACAGCCCCCAGCTGCCTGCTGCCAGGGGTTAACACACAGTTAGAATCACTTGCTTAAAATTAATTAAACTACTTATGGTTCTTGAAAGTTTACGTTGTAAGTCAACCTTATAGCTCTATGTGTTTTTCTCTCTTAACAAATACAGTTAATACAGAGCTCAAGCCGTTCATCTTTCCCATACAAATTCAAAACTATACAAATAAATGAACAAACCAAACATAACAATCAAATAAAAAAACAATATTGCACTTAAAGTTCAGGCATTGGACCTGTTTAATGGTTAAGAGGAAAGTGAGAGCTTTTTAGCTGAGTGCTTTAGAGGAGGTGAGGGTGTCTGTAGAAGCATCCAGCAAGTTAATCTAAATAAATAGGCAAACCTTTGTACAACATTTTTTTTTTTCCTCCAACAAGAAACGAGCAACCTCTTGTGTATTGCTCAGGAGAAATGGGGAGTGCAGGTTGGAACGCTAAAGCATAGAAAAACACTGAGTGTGTAGAAAAACCAAAGATAAACCAAGCTGGAACCTGTCGTGGTAATGTCCTGAGAAAAGCTTCCTCGATTAGTCCAGAATGAGCTACAATGGGAAAGCAAATGTCGTTTGGCTGCTCGGAAAACATTTTATTCTTCAGTTTTCGTTCCTTGTTGTAAACAGTCTTTGGAGACAGGAAGCAAGTCGTCTTTTTTTCTTCCTCTACTGGCTTCGAATGCGACTTTAAATGTCTTTTAATGTGAGAGTGACACATATCTGCATTTCATTACAGCTCCAGTCCGTCCATTATTTATACGTTTGTGTTCTTTACCCATCTCTGTCTCCATCTTTGTCTTTCCACAGTCTTGGGATGCACTAAGGGGAAAGCTGTTTGCAGAAGCTTTACAGGAGGGTGCAGGTGTTTAACAGAGATGCGGTGAAACAGCCATTATGCTAGCTTTCATTCAGACATCCTGGTTTTTTTACCCCTCACAGTTTGAATGAGAAAAAAACATGAAGGGAAAGGACTTTGTGTCGTACCGACAGCTTTGAAGTGGCTTCACAGAGAACATGGTGGAGGAAAGGAGGGGATTTAAAGTGGGAGTCTTGAAAGGAAATTAAGGAAAAAAGTGACAAAACAGTACCGGACTGTCTTCATGTCTGCGGGGTTTTCTGAGCAACCCCTCTTTGTTCTCCAGCACAACTGGGGGAACGTAGAAACACAACCAAAACACTGACACCACAAAACAGAGAAACAGTGATCAGACACTAGCTCCTGCTCCAGCCCTCGCCTGTGGGCTTCTGTACTGTTTACACAACCATCCATCCATTCATCCGTCCATTCATCCATCCATCCACCTGGTAACTGTGTAAACTACATTCCTCTGCAGTGCCATAGCTTTTCCACGTCCTCTCACATCACAACAACAACAAAATCATAGTGGACAGGATGACATGCACAACCAAAAAGTACAAAAAAGGCAAACAAAGACACCTCCAGCCCGCTCTACTTTTTTTCAAGTCTGACCCTTTTTTTCTCTCTACATGATTCTCTTCTCCATAGATCTTTTCAGGGCTCTTATGAAGAAGATGAAGTCGGAGTGGAGCTAGCCTTTTTTTGGTTGATTAAGTCCACGTAGAGTTCTGAGCGCAGGAATCGGGGGTATGAGTCCTTCTCCATCAGCCCGTATATCCGCCTCTGTGCTAGGTCAAAGCAGGAGCGTGTCACATTCTGCAGGTTGTCCTTAGTGTGGTCTCTGGTGTAAGAATCCAGATTGACCTGCAGGGAGAAACAGATCAAAACAAGTTAGAGAAGTGCACACTTACAATGATACCAGGAGGAGAAATGCATGTTGTTGTTTTTTTGCAGGAAGCTGTTTTGACGCCATCCCCCCCCCCCCCTCTGTGTGTGTGAACTCTCACTCACCTCTTTACAAGACTGGATCGCGATGTATTCTGCAAAGATTTTCTTGGCTTTGGAGGCCATCTTGGACTGCGACTTAACCTTCTTGTATTCCTCACATGCGAGCCAGAATTCCAGATTCTCCTCGCTGAACTCGGTGCGCAGGAAAGCTCTGAACGCTGCCAGGCCATCTGAGAGAAAGCAGAGAGGAGGAGGTGGAGAATAAACAAGAGGAGAGTTGACTCGAGTGCCATGGCAACCTCACAGCCCAAGCGCTCCTTGGAGTTTCAGAGACCAAAATAGCGCTGTGATGGCCTCTTGAATCATGTGGTTGGAATAAAGGGAGGCATAACAAAACCCTAACAACACGGCGGGGTACATTCAAGTCTTAACATCTTTAAGGTGACATCACCCACCCTGCAGCATGACATCTTTGCATTCCCCTTTACCCATGCTGTGAATGAACAAAGGGAAGACTGTTTCAGTGTAAGAGGAAAATGACTAACTCGGGCACTTTTTTTCTAGTGTAAGGAGGAAAGGGCTAATTCTGGCACTTTGGGCATTTTAAGTTTCAGTCCAGTGAATGATTTGAGGAAGAAGGCATCCAGAAGAAAGAATAGCAGGAAGCTGTGTCCACCCACTTCTCCCGCCTGCACCTTTCCGTTCCCATGAATCACCCACGCCACGCTGATAAGCAGAGCCAGTGAAGGCAGTCATCTCTTACCTCATTCTGGTAAGCAGGAGTGAGGTAAGAGGAAATAAGAAGGGGGGAGAGAAAAGAGGCCAACTGAGCCCAACGAGGAACAGATGTAGGGCTGGCTTTCTATCGGCTTTTGAGAAGAATTGGGATTCAACAGTGGAGAAGATAAACTGTGTGGGGGGGGGGGGGAATAGCAACACACTTGCAGGTTGCCTGTTTTAGCCTTTTCTCATCTCTATTTAATGCATGGAAGTCATTTGTTGGGATTGGAGAAACTTGATGCAAACACACGCTTGCTGCAGCTCTGTGTGTGTGTGTGTGTGTGTGTGTGTGTGTGTGTGTGTGTGTGTGTGTGTGTGTGTGTGTGTGTGTGTGTGTGTGTGTGTGTGTGTGTGTGTGTGTGTGTGTGTGTGTGTGTGTGTGTGTGCGGTGTGTGTGCGTAATCCATATATCAGTGCATATGTTTCCCTGAGCTCCCCACCCTCCCCCCACCCCCTCATGCAAGCACTGTATGTCTACATTAACCCACTATCTACAACAGTTTTGCACTTTCATCATGTTGCACAATCTATCAAAAGCAAAAAGACATATGATAGCCATGTAGGTTAAGGAGTAGATGAGAAACACAAGACATACAAAAGGAATACAAAAGTGACTTACATTTGTGTGTCAGCAGCTTGTCAAGTGAGTCCCCCCATTTGAGTGCTTCCTCTGCGGTGGGCCTGCAGATAAAAGCAGAGCGATTCTTTAACAAGCCCATCTCAGCCAGGTTTCTCATTGTGTGACCCATCCGCAGAACTTTGTCTATGCTGTGTGGACGAGTGGAGACCGATGCAGGTAATTCCTCTCCGTTGTATCCCTCCTCTCTAGTCTACTGCTCTTCTCCTCTCATGCACTTCTGCTTTGTGAAAGCTGAGAGCACTGAGAGCCATGAGTCTATCTGCTTTACCCTGGTGGGGGGAGGCTTATATATTCCCACTCAATGCCACTTGGAAGGAGGGAGAGGAGGGGCTCCAGCCAACCAATGGGGATGTGTTGTCAGATTTAGAGACCTCCTCCCCCACCAGTGTTTGGCTGCCCCCTGCTGCCTCTCATTCTTTCTGTAGACTGCTGTAAAGCATGCCTCTTTACAATGATCATCTGTAATACACATCTCAGGCCTTAATTTATACTGTAAAACAAGTTTGATATGTTATCTATTTTACATGTTGGTGTATGTGGATATTTTATGTACCTTTTTTGTTTTCAGCAGACATTCATGTTGACAATTAGTTTTAAAAATGCTGTTTTGTTGTTTATTTGACTGTTATGTCTTTTAGAAACAATTAAGAACAGATATTGCGTTCATATGTTGTTGTCAATGTGCCAGCTTTTTAAAGTTATAAAATGGAAGACATTTTAATACAGCATACGCTATATTTTACATTATCTATATAAATAAAAATCCAATGCCAAGACACAAAATTCGCTATCTCCCCTTCAAATGCGCCATTGTTAAAATAAACATTCTCTCATTCATTTCGTTAAGCCACACATTACAAGCACCCTCCAATCCCTGCTGCTGCCCACATGTCTGTCTGCCAAGGCCAGCTCATCACCAGTTGTGGCAAGACCCGGAAAACAGTCTCACTCCCACCCACATGCACACACTGTCAGGAAGTGGCCACTTACTTGACTGACTTCATAGATTTGTCTAACTTGCTGGCTGGGTTGCTTCCTGGGGATTCATTCCTCCTCCGCAGGAAAGCCAGACGATTCTTCATGTCTTTGGCCCTGGGTGAAGGACAGATAGAGAGAGGAAGAACAAAGGGGAGAGTGAAGGAAAGGTTTATGATAACAGAAGGAGAGAGAAAGTTAAGAAGGTAAATGGAATGAGGATGAAAGGAATGATAAAGGGGACAGAGGAGGTGGACAAAGGGAGGCATGGGAAGAAAGTGTGTTGAGCCCGAGTCCAAAGTCCACAACTAAAACAATCCAAGCCAAGGGAATCACCAATTAAGATATTCCGCATTGTAAATCCACATGAAATCAAACCCACAAAAGCCAGAAAAGGTTGAAAATAAACGTTGTATTGTGTACATTTTAGTCTTCAGCCAGGTGTGTCAGCCAAAACTTTTCCAAAAAGGCGGCTTTCAAGCTCCCTTTCCCCGCTTCGTGTCAGCGCCTCGCCTGTCAATCTATTATCTCTAACAGTCTTTCGTGTAGATGCGTCCCTGGCAGGTTCCTCGGCAGGGACTGAGCGAATGTGTCAGAGAAGGAGGAGAGAGACTCAATCCGCACTCCTCTGTTTCATCACGCCATCTCCATGTGCCTAGAGGGCTTGCTGAAAGGGAGGTGACCCAGGGCCGAGGCAACAGGGCACAGTGACCCCTATTCTGCTGCTCGCCTGCAGCAGCATCCAAAACCCCCTGACCGACCTGTTTCACCTTCGAACCATCACACACACACACACACACACACACACACACACACACACGCTGCCATCATGCGCCACCTTAAATCTCACACAAGGCGATACGCCAACCCTCGGTCCCCAAGGGTTCGTACAGAATCATGCGCATTCCTATAATCCCATGGTGCCTGTCCTGGCTTTTCCCGACCCGGAGCACATGCTGCCTCATTGGGATGTGACCTCACTCAACACCCATTTCCTGAGTCCCTGCTTTTGATTTCCACTGTGGATTGGCTGGCCCGCTAATAATGCGGCACGGCGGTGTGAGCTAATCACTGCAAGCTGTGCCACCGCCAGCCATCAGCCCCCAGGAGGGCATGTACACCCCAAATTAGGAAACAAGGCTTCTAGTTATAGACACCTATGATTCTAACGTGCACACACAGGGGGTTGGAAGAACTCACAACTGCTGATTAGCACAAGAACTGTACAGAAATGTACTTGGATGGGGATTAAAGAAACACCCACACGTATATTTCAAAGAACCCCCTCTGCACCTGTGCCAACTCATGCCCACTTCACTGGTGCTTTCATGCCTATCACAGGTGTCGGAGAACTCCCAGTCTCCACCGGTGAGTGATGGGAAGTGGGAGAGATTATTTATGCGTGCGTAGATGCACGGTGGTTACATTCGTGGCTGCGGGACCGAACAGAGAACACAGTCAGCTGTCTGGCGTGAGGTTTTCCAACTGCCGAAGGACAGGAAAGGTAGAAACATGCCCGCACACATGATACAACATGACTGCATGAGCTGTTGGGGAACAGCAGCTGAATAGCTCCTTTAAAAATCACGATGAGTGCGACTTTGTGGGTGTATTGATTCTGGTTTGTTTGGGTTTGGGGGGTTAGCTGGTGCAGATTACTTTAGGTGATTCAGAAAACCACAGGAGGCCTTTTTCAGCGCGTTTCTAAAGTTCAGGAGGGTGGAAATGCCAAATGAGTGAAAATAGATGTACTAGCAATAAATAGAAAAAGCAAAAGCATCCATCAGTGTGGATATCCAGAATGTGGAAGGTTCTTTTTCCCAGGCAAGATAAGTGGAAAAAGAGTGAAATTCCCAAAATAGACTCAAAACAAAATAGAGAGTGAAAGACGTTTAGAGGACACATTTTAAATGAATTCCACATCTAATCCTAAGAAATACCGGACCGGCCACACAGCATCACTGGTGGAGGGATGACTCATCCATTGATTGAAACAACCTCTGTGTCCTGTATGAGGCAGGATTATACCAGATGCTGAACTGCTGTATTAAGACCTCTCTTTTATTGCAAACATCAGGGCGCTCTTACGCAGTACCCCTGTGTAACGCTCACACTTGCCAGTCTGAAGGACATTATCACCGAAATAAAAACTCTCTCGCTGTTAAATAAACTCATAACATCAGAGCGGGATTCATTAGATTGTTCTCTTTGTAGGCCGCTCGAGGCAATTAGGTCTTGAGCGGTTCATGTGTTAGCTCTAAGACAGCCTCCTTCTTGCCAGTGCATGTGAGGAAGAGGAGTGTTTTATATGGGCTGGAAAATATTTTCCTGGCCTGACAAAAGACACCTTATTATTTATGTCTGGCTTTATACAAGCTGAGCCCGTGTGAATATGATGTGACAATGATGTCATGGCAACAGTCACTTTAAGATAAATGTATGTTTCTATCCTGCCACCATGTGGGTGTCAATGGATACTGCAAACACAACACATGGCATTTTCCGGCTTCAAGCAGAACTGATTGCCTGAAATTCTTCTGTTCCCAATAATTGGTGTCAACACTGGAAACGGCTTGATCCTACATAATCTTAGGATCTATACTTGAATACAGAACTGACACTATTCTTGAAAACATCTCATTTATATTGCATATCATGTAGCTGCCTCATTCAAACCACTTCACATTGGCAACTACAGAAATCCTTTTCTCACCTCTGCACTGTGGGAGGTGTGGGAAACTCAAGCCATAATTAAAACTGCCTGTGTGGTTATTAACTCAATGGGAGTCAACAGCAACTCCGACTTGAAGGAAGGTCACAATACTCCTCCCTAAATGTGGGCAGACACATCCTTCATCCTTTGAACAGCGACAGCCAGTGGGCTAACATTCATGACTGTGACCTCCAGACGTAGAGGATTGCATTGTTATAAAAAACTATTAGCATGTTGAGTAAAACCTTCTTGGGTGGAACTCTAAACACTTAACTCTGACTTACAGCAAGAGGAGAAATGGACTGATTCAGCCACACTCTTAGGCCAACTTCAACCACGGTCACAGATATCTCTTTATCAGTTTTATTCAATATCATAGATGGAAAGTAGTGTTGTACTTGAGTCTATTTCGAGGAACGTCATTTAAGAATGATATTGCACCCAGTTATCTTAGCATATAGTGCTAATGGCACCTCTCACAGTCTCTCACGTTGAGCACCTCTGTATTTAGAGTTGAAACTTTACTGTATCTGCAAATATCTCCCCATCACTAACACCATTCACAGTGTACACTAATTACACTCCGTTTGATTCATGACACACACTGAACCCTCCACTTAACTTAATCTGCTAAAAGACAGACACATGCTCTTGAAAGGATTATCAAATGATGATGATCTTTGATCCAACATGTTTGCCGTCCATAAATGTATGCTCCAATGCCCAGCAAGCTCACAAAATGCCTATGTTTGCAGCATGTGAACACCTGAGTGTCTGTTTGTGTCTTTGCAAGAGAGCGATGTATGTGCTTGAGTGAAGACGTGAGAGGTTTTTGTCTCCACAATTATCTGCAGGTTTCCGTCCTCTTATTCCCTCTTTGCTTGGCTCACATTAGATACACTAATAGCACCCCACCGGCTATTCCTGGTGTTCTGGAAAGTAGGCCGCACTCCCAGGGAAAGGCTCTGGGAGCACATGGTCGAGAACTGCAGACAGACACACTGCAGATCACAAAGAACCATGCTAACACAAGCCAAATCCACTGGCCCATTTCATCCCACCTTTGTTGTTTGCTATGTAGAGCTTTGTTTCCCACAAAGAGAGGACTCTGCCCTTTGTAAAGCCCATGAGATTTGGGGTGCAGTGATGAGTACAGAATTGAAATACAGTCAGTGAGAGCAGCAGCCAAGTTTCACGCATGTTTCTGACTCCCTCTGCCACTTTCTATTTAGAGAAGGCTGTGTATGCAGAACACGCCACACCAACAACACTGTTGAAGCGCGTGGCTCTGTGTGTGCCTCTGTGCGAGAGTATTGGGTCAAGGGTTGTGTCAGTGTGTCTGTAACGCTTGAAATAACATTTCCATGGCTTGGGCTCTGACTAAAAAGATGATTACACACTGTAACTGTTTGTTCTGTACTTTGCTCACATACTAAATACTCCAGAGAGGTGACAGATGACACACTGCAACACAAAAAGAAAGAGAAGTGCCTCACAACAAAGAAAGTCACTCTGCCATGTTCCTAGAAGCACAATGAAAAAGGGAATTGTCCTAAATTTCATCCATAAATATATCGCTATGTCATTCACAGTGTCCCTCGATCAAACCCCCCAAGAAAGCTCTATTTCTGAGCACACTCACCTTCCTAGCCACCAAGACCACATGAGCAATCCTATTCCTGAAATCCAGGCTGTGTATAATAAGAAAAAGGGGCAGCCTCGAGTTAGAACTCAAAACTCCTTTCTCCAAAATAGTTTGAGCCCTTTGGTCTCACGGGGGTTTCGTCTCCCTCACTGCGACTGTCAAATGAGATCCAAGTAGAGGTCAGATAGCTTCCTACCAGCTTTAGAGCATCGGTTCCTGTGGGATGTATTACAGCCCCCTCCCACGCTTCCCTCATCCTCGCTTCTGATGTCTCTTATTCTCGATAATCAAAGTGCAGATGAGCCTTGCTCTTACCTTTCCAGGTACTTCTCTGAGAAATCAACCATAGTGTGAAACATGGGTGCCAGCCTGTACGCAGGTTCACTTGGTGGGTGTGGAAATAAGACTGCATGAAAGCGTGTGTCAGGAGGTGCTCGGGGCCCAGGGGTTTGTTTGACAATCACATTCCTCTAACCCCTGAGAGGATGTGTTGGAGCTTTATATAGTTCAGGGGGTCTGGGGAAGGCGGACCCTGGGCTAACCCAATCACCACGCAGAGTTAAGACAGCACAGATTCCTTCCACTGGGGTCTGGAGATTTTTGTTTTGTTTATGGATTGGTAAGTGGAGGTGACATTTGTCTTTTGAGGAAAATCAATGACTTTACTAATGTAAAGAACTGTTCATCTGTCTCAGATCAAATCAGTGGTATAAAGCTCTGTTTTAAACATCACGCTACAAGAGAGACTTAAAAAGCATCAAAGTATCATATTATCTCTTCTGTAGTTTGTGCAGTGAATGCTTGTTCGCATTAAATTGAATTAAATAAGTTATGACTGGCTTAGTTTCTGTCTGAGTGACAATACAATCTAATCTATTCAATCAAGAACTGAAAATACATGAAATTGAAAAATATTTGTAGTTTGCTCCCTGTTTACTTTATCTGATGGGGTTTAGTCATGTTTTAAACATGATGTTACAACCTCAAGTGCTGATGTGTTGTCCCTCTGATTCAATAAATGTACAATATAAGTCCAGACAGAGTCGTGTTATAAGTTTAATGTATGAAACTTAAGATCTATTAGTATGTAGAAATCCAACTTTGTCTCATTCTAATACAGTTAATGAAAAAGCCTTAACACAGTTCTTGTGGGGAATACCATTCCACAGATTCTACACATCAAAGCTTGGGGGTGTTTCTGCATGGAAATTGTAAAAAGTAATAAACAGAGTTGCCTCAAGTCATGCTACTTTATTAGATTACAATTGAAATGATGGTGGTCAAGTTGCATTGTGTGATGATAGAAGGATCTTTATTGTCACTGTGCTTAGAACAATGAAAATTGGGGTGAAGTAGGTGCTAGGATTTGACAAGTAAGAAGAATGCATGGAATAAAAACGAATCAACAATGTTGTAGCAGTGCAATGGTTAACATGTGGAGCACTCTTTAAAGCACTATTGTCTCTGGTAATGTGCAATAAGTGCCCTAAGTGTTCACACCTTGGGATCCAGCTGTTATTTCTTTGTCTTTGTTATTTCTTTTTTACAAGGTGATGAGATGTTCCCTTTTCAGGGAGTCCACTTAACTGTAAAAGACGTACTTGTAGATGTATTTGTATAACCTGAAAGGCGCTTTTTAGACATAATGGCTTTGAGTGGTTCACATAATGTCAGCACTGATTGTACAACAAGGTCAGTGCACATCATGTCAAACTAAAGAACTAATGTTCATTTCTGCCAACTTTCACGACACACAAAAGGGCCCTCACATGGATTTTGGCAGCAAAACCATGAAAAAACAACAACAACAGGTGAAATCAATTGTGTGCCTGGGAACTGCTACAAGGGATGGCACAGGATCAAAACTGTGAACAATATTACTCTCTCAATACTGAGAAGATAACATCAGGTTACAAATATATATATATAGAGATACATATATACATTTATATACAGAAACACAAACACACAGATGTAATATGTGCTGTGTTTGTAATAAAAAATCTACATTTCCACACAGATCTCTCTGGTGCGCTAGTTGATGTAGTTCTATGGCTTTATTGCTACTTGCTGCAAATCACTGGTTGGGAAAAAGCAGTATAGTGCTAAGTGCAGGGATATATAGCTCGGGGTAGCAGAACACCTGGAGTGGGTAACAACATGTGTTAAAAGAGGGGGGGGGGGAGGAGGCTGAGATAATGTGGACAATGTCAGGAAAACAGCTGTGCTGGGTCCAAAACACTAGACACAGGAAGTACATTCGTACAAAAAGGAGAGAAGAAAGAAGTGTAGGAAGCGCACAGGGGGAAGAAACAGAGCAGAAGAGTGAGCATGTTTAAGAAGTTGATTGCTTTGTCTTTGTTATTGTAAACGATGCATATGGACCCAGTCGTTTGTAGAAGAAGACAGATGTAACATGCTCTCACAAGTAAGTATAATTTCACCTCTATGTGATCAATTTGATTCTTTTCATGCATGTATGTCAAGAAATGCTGTCATCTTTGTGTCATTAATGATAAGTAGGGTGCTTAAGGGAAGAACAACAGTGTTTACGGAGTAGGATGAACATATTCCAAGTTACACACAATGCACAGAACAGGAGAAACATTAAGAAGAGAGGAAATAATATCTGGTGCATCTACTACATCCCCCACTCCAAAATAAATCCCATGGCCAAAGGTCAAAATACCTTCTTTAAGCTATAAATTGCTGCATCTTAATTTAATTTGACCAGATCAGATACTGTTTGCCACTAATCTCCATCGACACCCTCCAATGGCTCTGTCTTTGTTATATTTAATATCAGCCTCCAACATCTGGAGGAAATAATTGAATTTCCTTTATGTTTAGTTGTATAGAAAGCCTCAGATTCCTATCTATAGCAGCCAACATATTGCATTTGTATTCCTTGGAGGTACACAGAAAGATATTGTATTGGACGTATGTTTATTGGTGTGACTTAATATGAATAAGTAGATTATTGCCCCTGGTGTTGTTTAGTGTGGCGAAATGAAAAATGGCTGGATATGGGTCTAAAAGATATTATAAGAGATGGCAGGCTCAGATTATTGAGGATAATATGGAAACTAAAAGACACGTGCGTAAACACTAGTGCTCATGAACTTCTCATATTGATTAATGATGGCATAAAATGGTTGCATTCAATGATGGAACTAATTTTGTCTACAGGAGACAGAGACGAAACCTTTTCTTCTTCATCAGCGTCACACCTATGCAGTGCCTTTTAAAAAGCCACAAACACAGGTGGAACCATTTAAGGTAATTAGTGTTGCACCTGGCAGGGCAATCAGACATTCACATCGCAGCCAATCAACACCTTGCAGTGGGACAAGGAAAAGACAGAGCCTGGTCAACTATAAAAAGAGTCTCAATTACTTACTTAGTTAAAAATCTCTTAAAATAAGGGTATTTATGCAAGTGAAGAGGTGGTAAAAAAAAGTGTCTACATAAAAAAAAAAGAATACTAAGTTTACAACCCTATTACATTTCTTAGTAAACATGTTTTTTTTATGAAGTACTGTGTCCATTTAATCACAGTTCTGATTCCTTTAAAAACCAAACCAGAATCCTCAGCAGGGACAGAATGATGAGTAAGGAGAGATGAGCTAACATCATGATTCATGTTTGTTTACCTACTGTAGTAAGAAAATCACTGTTTGCAGATCATGGCCTATGAGCTATGTCAACAAATGCTGTTTGCCAAGTTGCAAAGTGTGGCTAGACTCAAATTGTTATAACTATTTAACTTGTTATTTGTGTACCCAGTCTGACCTTAAATACAATTGCTCCTTCTTCTTACATTTATTAAAAATGATCACACATTCTAGATTTAAAATTACATTTGAAGGGAATAAATACCATGTTGTAAACCTAAAAAATAAACGATGTATGCTGTTAAGTGTCTGTGTTATTAATGCAAATAAAGCTGGTCTGAAGCAGTTTTGCAGCAATGGACAAAAGGCGACATATTCCAGACTCAGGGAAAAGGCTGTGGAATCTTAATCACTTAATCTGCTGGTTAACTAAACAACATAAAAACTTTTGCAGAAGAATGGGCAGCCATCAGGCCCAAGGACAGCCACTGTGAGTGGTTTCATTGTCCTCTCGGCGTGAAATGTGCTTTCATCTTGATGAACAGGAGCGAGAATAAGGCTCATTGAACAGCTGATGAATCACTGAGGCGTCGACACACATTTTACACACCTTACTTCTCACACGGGCGAGAATGTCAAACACACAGGTGTTACTACAGCACACACATCATTCTCCACTTAATTAAGTAGAAGATGATCAGCACTGGATGATTAGCTTTCACAGTCACCTTAAGCCTCAAACGTGCTTCTTCATTTGCAGCTCTCACACGTGCAGGTTTTGCACAGGCTGTCACAGTGGTCAATATATTTGAATGCACCATTAAAGTGCAAAGAAAAGTCAAATCTGAAACCTATTTTTACATTGACATACACTAAAGTATCCAATAAAGAGAATAACGTTTAAGGTTTTAAATGTAGCCATTGTTGTGTGTATATGACCTGACATGTTCCCCAATCCACTCACACCTATACAACACATTGTCAGATGAGCCCTGGGGTCTCAATTAACCCCCCATGTGCTTTTTTGTATCACTCACCAATGGTATAGACATGAGTAAAGACAAAAGTAATGGATGTTAAAGCAGGGTTTGAAATTAAGACCCTTTTCTGGATACACAAGTTGATTAAATTAGCATGAAAATAAAAGGCTGACTGAGAATTGATAGCAAAACCGGTGAAGGCATTTGTCATCACAATGATAGATATTTTGTGCTTGCACTCACTCACTCTTATTCCTTTTCGTTCTGACATATTTGTAATCCTTAGTCAAGGCATGTGTTTCTACATTTTGTTACAAGTAAAAACACAACATGCTATTCCCTGTTTACAACTTTCACAATGAGCAGATAAAAAGACATACACCAAAAAGAAAGGGATTTGCTTGAGTACTTACAGGTTCTTGGATTTCTTCTTTGTTCCTTCGGGGCTGACCTCGCAGCTACAGGGGGATCCGGCGCTCAGCTGAGGGGAGACGAAGAAGAGCACACACTGCATCATCCACCCTCCACACAGAGAGAGGGCCCTGTAGCCTCATGCAGACACTGGGGCTAGCTTTAACTAGCTCCAATAGGCAGTGACAACCTAAGTCAGATAGCAGGCTAGTGAGTCCTCGATGTGTCCAGTTAGGCTACACTGAGACTAGTCGATAACACACACGGTCAGCCACCAAAATGAATAATCCATAACAGCAGTCCATAGTGTAAATCCCACAAGGCAAAGCTCTCAGATGTGTGTGTTTTGCTGAAAACAGTCTGACTGTGTGTATGCAGCAGATGGTGTTTGTCAACAGAGGACAAGAAAGTAAGGAAAATCTGTGAGAGTGAGAGAGTGCGAAAGACCACGGCTGTTGTTTCTGCTGGCCTCCAACTGTGCCCCTAGGATGGAAGTGTTGAGCCAAGACCCCCGGTTTCACATTACACTTTCTGCCAACCCACCATTTCCATTGGTTAAAAACGAAAAGGAAGTTGCCGCAGGGCGGGGAAGGGGTCAATCTCCACTAATCTCAAGGCCTGAAGCTGCCCCATTGTGTGTGTGTGTGTGTGTGTGTGTGTGTGTGTGTGTGTGTGTGTGTGTGTGTGTGTGTGTGTGTGTGTGTGTGTGTGTGTGTGTGTGTGTGTGTGTGTGTGTGTGTGTGTGTGTGTGTGTGTGTGTGTGTGTGTGTGTGTGTGTGTGTGAATAATGAGCCATTGTATTACAGGAACACAGTTGAATCTGAGCTAGATACTGGCAACAGCTGCTAACACATGGTTTAATGTTCTCTATCTCGGTGGGACCTAAGTGAGTTTCAGCCTTGAGAGTGAGGACATTTTGGAGAATTGGGTCCATTTTTGGCTGGCCTTCACTTCCTCAAGGTGCTGTTTTGAATAAAAGTGACACTCTACACCTCCTGCTTTAAATTACTAAGTCACTTATAATGGACTCCAAATGTCTGTAGAAACCTTTAAGAAGTCCCAACCAGCAGTAACATAACAACCCATATTTACTTTCTCTGCCATAAAACGTTTTACCATCGGAATCTACCGTAAGTGCCTGAGTTCATGCCGACCGCAGCTGTTGTTATCCATCAGTGAGAAAGCTACAGACTTTTTACTTCTTGTGAGAAGATCAAAACCAGCTGTTCCCGCATGTTTCCAGTCAATGCTTATTGTATCCTGGCTTTAGCTTTACATTCAACAGATAGATGCTAGAGCTTTATCAATCTTCTTAGCTAATAAAATGAGTTTTTCAAAAAATGTCAAACTATTCCAATAAGGTTCCATTTCATGTACTGTAATGTTAATAATGCAATGTTAAACACGCATCACAGCGATGAGGGAACTCATTAACACAACCACATGGATATGTTTTTGTGTGAATGCCAATTGTACATCCATACAGTGAAAATATGTTTTCTCATTGTGTTTGTGGGACCATAATTATAATGTAAACAATCATTCTTATGCCCATGAGCAAACATATCCTGCATTATTCATCTATGTAAAGCCATCCTCCATAACCCTCCATAAGCGTCTTTGAGCACCTGTAAAAGCGCTAACAAATTAAATCTATTATTATTATTATTATAACACAACTGCCTTTAGTAATATCTTGTTGTGTTTTTTCATTGTTTTTAACATACAGTAGTTGCTCGGTTTTGTCTGTTTACAATCCTTGATAGAAGTAGAGCATCCATCTTCCATTTGATTGTCAAGTGTACGCTGTAGCGCTCTGCCTAAAGTCACTGTTGACTATGAAAGGTGAATGAGTGTACGTTGTGTAGGTATTGCCTAAAAATAGAAAAACTTAAGAGCAGGGACAACATATTTTTGTAGCTGCTGTTTTGATGCTATACTGACAACATTATCAATGTTTTAAATAAGGTAAGTGTTGATGCTTTAAGGTATTTAAAACAAGAGTTTGAGGAAAAGACAACTGTGAATATGATGAAAAAACAGGGACAGGCATTAAGTAATTCACTCTATAGAATACAAACTTTAAATGTAGTGAACTGTGTTCTTCAATTTTAGACCTAGAATGAGAATCAGTTATATTTGATATCATTTATATCCTCCAGCTCCAGTAACTTCATGCTCCAAAAGGTGCTATGTTAGCTTTGATGAGCATGTATTAAATCATTGAGGGTCACAAGAGAAATTGAAATCTAATCAGTAAGCTCAGTGCAAACAGCAAACCAGGGGAATCATAACCCCCGTGGAGCCATTGGACAGGCTTTCCCCTGAAACCACAATAAACAATTGAAAAACAATGCAAGTTTGCGATCTCCAGAGACGTTTGTCCCGATGAAGTCCCTGGGACAGGATTATTCAGGGAATTTAGGAGAACAAGTTATGCTGTGTGGCCATCACAGACCAGAGAGGGATAGTCTGCATGATGGGTCAGTCTTTGTCCACTAGCCGCCTGCATGTAAAGACTGGATGCTCATTCACACCAGAATGCTATGTTTCAGCTGGATGAGATACACAGGGACAGAGAAATGTGTCTTGCTGCTACAGCAGGCATCAGCGAGGGGTTAATAAGATGCATATTTAGAATCATAATGTAAAGGGTGCATCATGTCTGAATAAATCTACACACTACCAACCACATCTGCAGCAGTAATAAAGGAACAATGTGGATGGTATCCAAGCAGTAGCAGTGAGCAATCTGAGGCTGGACCATAAAACAGAATATTTTATAAAAGATAGGTCTATATCTATTTTAAGGTATTCTATGTTTCTTTTATTTTTACGCATTCCTTCTGGCAGCCAGACTCCACCCGGGGCCCCCCTACACACCAAAGTGACTTTGACACATTCTCACACACACACAGTCTGTCTGGCAATAACCAGAGAGGCATAAAAAGTCTAAGTATTTTCTAAAAATAGCCCCAGTGTGTGTGTGTGTGTGTGTGTGTGTGTGTGTGTGTGTGTGTGTGTGTGTGTGTGTGTGTGTGTGTGTGTGTGTGTGTGTGTGTGTGTGTGTGTGTGTATAGACTCCACGCATGCCTCACTGAAGACCGTAAGAAAACACACGATCTGCCAAAGACCACACGACAGTTAAGCCCCCCCAAGCATGGGATGCAGATGTTGACACGCCGTTATGGGTTGTGGGGTGGCAGATACAAAGATAAAGGTTTAAAATGGCTGCATGTGTGCTGCACATGTTTCTTTTTTTAATACCTTTTTCTACATTCCCATGCAACCACGTGGGAGGGCAATGATATAAACTTCCTGGCAATGCTGAAGTAAGTTCTAAATTAACTTATTATTATTATTAGCGTGTTCATTCAGCCAAAGTCAAGTGAGCTTAGTGTGTGTGGTTGGGAGAGAAGATAGGAAAAAACAAAGGGCTGCTATCCGATTAGACAAGGACCATTTGCCTGTCTTTGTCTCAATAAACTGCATTCTTAACTTAGGCTCTGCACTAACAAACACATTGTAAAAACAATATTCTAAACACAGCTCTGAAACATTCTTGTCCCAGACTCAAAGTCCTCTAAAAACCTAAAAGGTGAAGAAATGAATATTGGTATTTGTGTTTTTAAACTTCTTCTCACCACTTGAACCCTTTAACCTCTGCAGCTTTTCTTCATCCGACCTCCCTCAGACTGCTTCCTTCCCTCTCACTCCATGGTTTCTTTTTATTTCAAAAATGTATTGACAAGCGTAGGAACAATGTTTCAGGGACAGCAGCTTTGGATTTGTGCTACATGTTAAAACCTAGTTTCCTGACATTGTGTGGTTCTACTGTGTGATTGTGTGTGGAAAGACCAGAAGAGGAGCTAATGTCTGTAAGAAAAAAAGGAGAAACATTTGTTGGTACTTTCTGCTATTAAATAAATAAGAGTGCCTTAAAGCTTAACCACAATCGCTGTTTATCAGGATGTGGAATCTATAAAGTGCACAAGTAGAGGAAGAAATGATCCCTACAATTGTCTCCATGTGACTCTCCAAACCAGACTGCACTACTTCAATTCGCAGGATGTATCTGCTATTGGGGATGCAGAAAACCTGGTTGTAAAACGTCCGACTTGCAAATTCATGTGTAGTTACAAAAGCTATGAATCATTTTCTATTTCTCAGGTTTATATAATTGAATTCACGTTTTTTTCTTTCTAACCTACACTATTTTTGTTTCCTTTTAACATCAAACTACTTTGCTACCTTTGAAAAACTGACAGTGAATGAGCAATAGATAACAGTAGGTTTTTTTGACACATAATGAGGTGGGAATCAAGTCAATTTTCACTCGCTATCTTTTATTGTGAGAGTCAGGCTCATGTTCATTATTAGGCTGTAGCGTCGTCTAATATAGAAAACGGTTTTATATAACAACTAAACTAATAAAAGAACTGCATTAGTTTTAAGTATGTGTGTTTTCTTTGGATGAAATCACTCCCAAAATGGTCCCAGAAAGACTTATTTTGAGTATGAGTATTTCTCATGGACACGGATTATTTTCTATACTGGGCTTCAGGAGAACTGCAGAGTTGTTTAATACAGATGTATTTAGTATACGCTTTACATTCCAGGTGTGACTTATCCATTAATAATGGCCAGTGTGAATGTGATCCCGAAGTCGAAAAACCAAAAGATATAAGGAGATTTATTGTGCAATTCTTTAGTTATAATAACTTTCAGTCTAGTTCTTCCGTCCAGGAAAACAGGCCTTATTTTAATTTGCAAAAATACAATTCCGCCAGCTGTTAATATGTTGGACTAATAGCAATTCATTTGCATAACCTGTGTTAGTTAACTGGGCAAACAACCTGACACAGCTTGCTTGTTTGATGATAATGTTGGCCATTTCTTGGCCTTGATGACTGTTTGCGCTTCCTCGTAGATCTTGGCCAACGAGTAGAAATAAAATAAAAAAAGGAGACAAAAAACAGAGCTCCCTCTCTCCGAAGGACATTGGAGTAACAATGGAGCCTTTATAAGAGCCAGAAAACACAGCGAGATATGGAGGAAAAAGATTGAATA